GCCTAACCCTTCTCCCGCGCACTGCCTTGGCTTCTTCTATCTGACCCTTCCTGTCCCATCGTTCATCGACCTTTCTCCATCCAGATTCTGGTGACCCAGCCAGGCACAGGACAGATGGACAAAGGACTTTCTCATAAGTGCTGAGTCTTATGTTTCAGAATTTTTTTTGTGTGTGTGAAAATACTGTATAGAGGGGTTACAATTACATGGGCAAGATAATGAGTACATTTCTTATCAAGCATTGCAGCCTCCTCCTTTGTTTCCCCTTCCCATCCCTTCCCATCCTCCCCCCGCCCCCCCCAGTCCTCCCCCCCCACCAAAGTTGTAAAGTTCATTTTCAACATAACGACTTGTACATCTCATTGTTGCAATGGGTCCACCTATATCCCTATTTAAACGATTGTTTCAGAATTTTTTTGTAACCCATTTTCACCTCTAGGGGAGAGAATTAAGCAATGTTTCATAGAAATGCCTAACCACTCCAAACTCCAAGCTCCCAGAAGCTCTTACCCTCAAGAAGGAATAGTAAGTCGCTCTCAACTTCTGGTGAATACCACTTAAATGCTTAACATGACTTAAAAAGTTTGAATGCCAGGGGCTGGGAAGGTGGCTCAGTGGTAGAGTGCTTGCCTTGCATGCCTGAGGCCCTGGGTTCGATTCCTCAGCACCACATAAGCAAATAGAAAAAACCCGGAAGTGGCACTGTGGCTCAAGTGGTAGAGCGCTAGCCTTGAGCTGAAGAGCTGAGGGACAGCGCCCAGGCCCAGAGTTCAGGCCCCACGACCGGACCAAAAAAAAAAAAGTTTGAATGCCGATAGGTGCAGGTGTCTCATACCTGTGGTCACGTCCACTTGATTGGGAGGATCAAGGTTTGAGAAGCCCAGGCAGAAAAGTCCTTGAGGAGCCATCTTCACATAGGGACACTCGACACGCGCCTGCCTGTCCTTCCAGCAATGGTGGGAAGCCCAAAGTAGGGGAGTGGAAGTTCACAACCCCCTCCTCAGTGAAAAGCAGGACTGAGGCCCTGAGTTTAGTCCTTAGTACCTCAAAACCAAAGTTAGAATACTCACACTAGCTATCATTTTAAACCGCACCTTTTGCTACGTGTCTACTCTTTATTCAGTGTTACACTGAGTTCTTACATCGGTCTTAATTAAGATTCTTTATTGGTCTGATTTCAGATGGACAAGATGCATCTCCCCTGTTCAAACCTGCACTGAGTGATGTAGTGGTTGAGGCAAGGTTCCTAGCAACACTGTAGAGAGCATGTGAACAGACTGGGCCTCGGTCCTGGACTCGGTGTGGGCGGCTGACTCTAGTAGGGTAAACCGACCAGCAGGTGAAGAGTGTACCCCTCCCTGTGGAAAAGTGCACACTTAAGTATAAAAGGCTTGTAAAGTGGTGGTGTCTTTTCTTGGGCCTATATGAAAGTGGCTGAGTCAAATGGGTTGTGTCAGGAGCCGTCACCTGTGTGCTGTGGAGAAAAGGTAGATCTCAAGACGAAACGCAAATTACACAAAACCAACTCTGCAGCCTGTTCACAATGCCTGCTGAGAATGCGCTTTCAGAATTTGGGTGCGTGCACTAGCCAGAGCTCAAACGTTGACACGGTAGTAAGGGTACTCTGGAGGGCACACCCCAAGACACCCCCACCCCACAGTTGTTGACAAATCATGTATGGTACCAAATCCTCTGTGCTCTGCTTTTCTATAATGACGTTTAATCTAAAATTAGACACCGAGAGATTGACAGCAATAACTAATAAGAATTGTAATAATGCTGTGCGTAGTGTGAGCTCTCAAAACACTCACAAGTATGAATACCTGGGGACCATAGGCAACTCAGACTACAGAATGCAAAGCCTCAGGTGAGGGAACTGCTGGATGTTTTAATCCTTAGAATCGGTGTTGGGTTTTACAGGCCTTCATGTTCTTTTTTCCTCTTTGCTCCTTACTGTTTGTTGTATGAAGGAAGTTTAGGAAAGGACAGGACTCAGAAATCATAATGTAAGCCTTGTGACTTACGGGAACATTTCCTTGCGGGAACATTTTTTCCTGTGCCTTTTGTTACTGCCCATTGTCTAGGTCACTGAACCAAGTCTGTCTCACCCTGTTTGGTTCTGAAGGGTGCTAGAATTGGAAATAAGCACGGATACTGGAGTGGTGGGGCGCTAACATTAGGAAATGTAGGGGCTCAGGGAATGGCGTGGAGGATGGAGGACTGGCACTTGGCAGGCGCCTTCAATCTGAGTGAAAAATGGTCAGAAGAGTCTCAGCGTCTTCAGAACTCAGCCTAACTGAAGAGCAGATCTGTTTTTCTTTCCCCTGTGGTAATGTTCCTATGTTTCTCTGTTTTGTTTGCTTAACAAGATCATGGATGATTATTCTCTAATTAAGGGGAGTGTGGCTTGTTAACATTCTAAATGTCATCCATTGGGCTGATATTAAAACTCAGAGGGAGTCTGTGCTTTTTATCTTTTTGCTGTGCTTTAAACTTAAGCTAAGAGAGTTGTTTTTTTTTTTCAGCACTGGGGTTTTAACTCAGGTCTGCATGCTTGCTAGGAAGTACTCACTATACCACTAAGCCATACCTCCAGCCCTGATTTTGTGCTTGTGGTTTTGTTTTGGTTTGGTTTTTTTTGTCCGTTGTGGGGCTTGAACTCTGGGCCTGGGCACTGTATCACTAAGCTATACCTCCAGCCTTGATTTTGTGCTTGTGTTTTTTGTTTTGTTTTGTTTTGTTTTTTGTCTGTTGTGGGGCCTGAACTCTGGGCCTGGGCACTGTCCCTCAGCTCTTCAGCTCAAGGCTAGTGCTCTACCACTTGAGCCACAGCACCGCTTTCGGCTTTTTCTATTTATGTGGTGCTGAGGAATGGAACCCAGGGCCTCATGCATGCGAGGCAAACACTCTACCACTGAGCCACCTTCCCAGCCCGTGCTTGTTATTTTTAAGGTAACATCTTAGCTATTTTGTGATTCCTGTCCTACCTGGGATCACTGCCACTCAGGACTATACCCAGTTTCTTTCCATTGAGATGCAATCTCTGCCTGGACTGGCCTCAAACCACAAACCTCCCATTCTCAGTCCCCCACGTAGCAGGGATGACAGGTCTGAGCTGCCAGTGCCTGGCTCATGGCTAAGAGTGACTTGGAGAAGTAAGGATTTCCACTGACAAACAGAAATAAAGCTATATAATCACAACCAGTTCTTGCTTATCTTGGACATAGATCAGTATCAGAGACTCGTTGTTCCTCACCTTCTGTGATCTGTCAGCCCGCTTTACCCACTTACCTGGCATCGCCGGTGCTGTAACCCTCCACCACCTTCTCTCACCAACATGCCATCCTCTCAGGTCCTAGCAGCTGGTGTCCCGGCAGGCCTGGAGTGAGGCGGGGACAGTCACAGAGCCCGGCCAGCGCTTGAACCTTGAGTTACTGCATTAACCTCATAGCCCCTTTGTCCCTAGAAAACGGGCAGGCAAAGCTACTTTTACGTGATGGGCTGAAAGATTAGGATCCAGTGTTGAAAAATTCATGGTGCTCCCTTTCTCGTTATGTTCACCTGAAGACAGAGGTTGCTCCCGCTTGTGCGTGCGCAGGTAGCTTCCGAGCCCACCAGGTGTGCTCTCCTCCAGGGCCGGATCTGCAGAGGGATGCAATCGGCAGGCAGTGGCAGCCCCCAGTGACTGGGGACAGGGGCTCCCAGATGGTTCTCGGTCCATTGGCACAGAGATTACAGGAGCTCACACCCTTCAGTGGTGACAGCATTCTTAAGATCTCTTAAACTGAATCCAGTGGGAATCTAGACTCCTTCGTAAGTTGACTAATAAAAGGTCATTGGAGGTTCTTGTTTGGGGTTTTTTTTTGCTCATCTCTTCAAATTTCTGTTTATGTGGTAGGACAGGCAGGCTTGTGTGCCATCCAAGACTGGCCAGTCCACATATGCAAGGGGCATGCACAGGTGCACGGCCAGGAGAGAGCCCTGCCCAGCCTCGGGGCCAGGGTCAGGGGCTGCATCCAGACTGCTTGCCTTTGCACGCGTTACAGGAGTGTCTGTGTATGCAGTATAGTCATGGTACTTACTGTGTGTTCCGTATTATAGTCCTACAAGCCAAACCAAATATATCAGGGCCTGTCTGGTTGGGGGCGTCAGTCTGCCTTCTTTAAATCACTGTCTGGGTGCCTCATGCTAAGGTGGTGTTAGAGGGTTTGCCTTACTAATCCCGTCCCATGCCTCTGCGCTCATGTAGAAAGTGGATGTGGATCTGCAGTCACGGAGGGTTTCATAACCCTCACTATTCAGGCTGACGCTCGTGACTCAAAGACTGATTTCAGGGAAACAGAAGCGGCCCTGATTGTTCTCTACCGGAGGAGCTCTGCTTTGGCGCCGCACTCTCAGTTTCCCCGAATCCCACCCGGTGTTGCTATCAATGCACTGTTGCTGTGAGTTGCAAAAATCACAGTTTCAGAGCTGGGAAGATAAATTATTTGTGATATATCAAAACTAAGTTATTGAGAGCTCTAAAATAGTTTCTCCACATTTGTATTTCCAAGTAGAGCTTCCCAAAATTGGGACTTGTAGTGGGATTATAAAAGACTCTAAGGTGCCAGTAATTGTAACCTGCTTGGCCTGTGTTCCCAGGTAACTGTTTCTAATAATAAGATAAATGAAGAAGTAAGCTAAAAGACAACTTCTTTACCATAGCAGTTTACACCATCCTGCTTGACATCCATCTCCTTTGAAGTAGACTTTGTCACCAGGCACCCTGGTGCTTCTTGGGGGTAGTCCTAAGATGGGGGAGAGGGCTGAGGAAGGCACTCTTGCCCTCAGAGCTGGCTTCTGCAGGTTTTCATATTATGCAAATGAGCCCTGGGGTGTTGTTGGGTCAGCAGATGTTACCGGGTTTTTCCTAGCCTTCACATCTCCCTCCCTCTGTTTCAGAAGTTGCGGTGCTGGAGTCTGGGGGTGCTCATCGTTCTCACCCTTATTATTTTCAATAGGTGGAATACATGTTGGTATCTTTTGATCATGAAAATAAAAAAGTGCAGTTGGTCCTGTCTGGAGAAGATGTTCTTGAAACTCTGCAAGAGAAAGGGGAAAGGACAAATCCGAAGTAAGCCTTCATTCTGAATTTCTAGATCTTGGAGCTACGCAGAGCAGAACTGCTTCTGAGACTTGTAGAAGGCAGGGTGTCCTCGCAGCTAAGGTTCCAGGTTGCCTGGCTTGCAAATACTGGTTACTCAGCAGTTGAGCAGCCTCAGGCTGGCTTAACCTCTCCGTGCCTCCCTTTCCTCATCCGTGAAGAATAGATAATAACAGTGCAAGCCTCCAAGTTGGTGAGATTGAATGTATTACTACAGTGAGTGATACGGTACAATAAGCTAAACATCAGCTCTACTTACATTTAACATAAACCATTATTAAATATTTTGTAAGTATGTTAGACCTAATACCTGCCAGTCCTTTTACACTTGAAGAACTATGGAGAATCAGCAGCCTCGGAGTCCTTGGCTTCATTTATACCTCATGGCCTTATGTTTTTGTAAGCAAGTTCTAGATTTGGTGGTAGTAACGATGGCGGTGGTGTTGAGGTTGAAATTTACCAGTCAGGGATGCCACCACTTGAGCCATGCCCCCAGTCCTAACGCAGACCCCAAAATGCTGCAGCAAAAGACTAAGGTGAAAAGGTGCAGCCGTGGAGCTCACTGGACGCAGATGAGAGTGAACTCTGCAACTTGTAGGTGGAGACGGGAGGGAGGGACTGGGAGAGAGAGAGGGAACAGAAGACTGTACGAAAGGAGATGGATCTTTACCTGACTCATGTAATTGTGACCCCTCTGTACGTCACCTTTATAAGAACAATAAAGTAAACTTTAAAAAACAAGATGAAACTGCGTCTTCTCTCCCGCAGCCACCCTACCCTCTGGCGGCCGGAGTACGGTAGCTACATGATCGAGGGGACTCCGGGACAGCCCTACGGGGGGACCATGTCCGAGTTCAACACAGTCCAGGACAACATGCGGCAGCGGCGGCAGGAGGCCACTTCAGTGCTGGGAGAGAGCCAGGCCTTGTGCACAATCACGTCCTTCCCCAGGTTAGTCCACGCCAGCGTGTCCCAGCGGCCGTGCTGGAGTGCCAGGCCCAGAGGCCACGCCACCCCTGTGCTAACCTGACCTGGTCCTCCAAGCCCCGGCAGGCCTGGAAGGTTCCGTGCCACAGTGTGCTCTGCAACCTAAGATCACTGCAGAGCAGGGACACTGTGAGTGTGTGGTGGAAGTGAAAAAAGCAAGTGAATCCTGGGGAGACGAGACGGGGGCGGGGGGGGGGGGATGGCTGCTGTTTGAGGAAACGCTGGAACAAAAAGCAAACATGAAGGCTGAAGAGTTCATTTGACTTCTAGTGAACTTGAAAATCCAATCTTTTACATTTTCCTTTTTCCATTTAACATTAAGAGCATGATATATTTCACTTAGCAAATTAAAAGAGGATAGAGGTTGTGACACAAACCAGACTGTTTTTGTATTTCATAATTTAAGAGTATATAGTACTGATACCATGTCACCCCTCAGCTGAACAGAGCTCTACACGGAGTACTTGCTCTTGAAAAAAATGGGCTGGCTGCCAGAGTAGTGGCTCAAATGGTAGAGCACCAACCTGACACGTGTGAGGCCTGAGTTCAAACCCCAATACTGCATCAGTAGTGTCCCGTCTGCCATGGGTGGCAGTTGTGTTGTGTCAGAAGGATGAGCTCTCTAGTGGGGAAAGCTTGGAACAAGTCACATGACTGGTCCACTAAACTAGCCTAAGACGGGAACGCCAGTGCTCCTGGCTGGTCTGGGGCTGTGCAGCGGGTGGTGGAGGACCGAGACCCTGCCACCTTGCCTCACAGCCATGCCAGTCTCTGCCTGGCCCCACTCTGGATGTTTCCTGTGGCCACAGGCCCAGGTGATGTCCCGTCTAGCTGACAGCAGCCTTCCGGACAAGGCTCCAGCTCCAGGTGTCCGCAGGCGGCAGTCTCCAGCCAGCAGGCGCTTCCCCATGTGCAAGGCGGAGATTTGAAGTCAGGTGTGGGCTGGTGAGCGGAGCCTGCCGAGAGCCCTGGACCCCTCTGGGCAAGCCCGTTCTTGACCCCACTTGCTAACCGCGGTGGCTGAAGGAGCAAAGCCAGGAGGAATGGGAGGCGGGCATGGAGTCTGCACTCTGGGTTAGCGCCCCGCTGAGGTCAGGGAAGAGGGGGTTGGGTTCAGGGCAGGTTCTGAGGAGGCCTGCGGAGGGGATGATGAACCCTGTCCACATACACAGGCGCCCCTCAAAGCGGGGCAGCAGAGACTAGAAAGCTCATAGCTGGGGAAAGAGCATGCCTCAGCCATGGGGGGGGGGGGCCTGGCGGGGGGGGGGAACCAGGGACATCACTTGCAGGCAGCAGTCCTCAGAGATCCTGGTCAGTGAGGGCATGGGGACTGTGTGACACCAGAGTGGCGGTCACAGAGATGACCCTCAGGACGCCACCATGCGGTGATGGTAACAGACACTCGTACACAGCAAGACCACAGGCGGCTCAAACCCAAGACGAACACCATCTGTTCAGTTCTTCGCTTTGTTGTAGATTAGGCTGCCCTGGGTTCACGCTGCCTGAGTACAAACCCAACCCTGTGGAAGGCGGCGCCTCCAAGTCCCTCTTCTTCCCGGATGAAGCAATAAACAAGCACCCCCGCTTCAGGTGAGTGTGCCGCCCCTCCCACCCCTCAGCAGACGCTCTGCTCACAGACACAGGCCACCGCTACTGGATGCTGCTTCTCACACCCAAACCTGACTGTTTCCCACATCACCTTGAAAGCCAGACTGGCATTGTCCTCCTGTGGCTGAGGAAATTCCTTAAATCTTTTCCCCTTCTGTAGTCTCTGTGATCTACTCATCTCAGTACACATACCATCGCAGTACCATAAAATGTATTCGGCTCCTGGTGCATTTAGTAGGTAGTTTTTCCTCTGTTCTGTTAACTGCCCGAGCTGTTAGCTATTGGTTGTTAGGTTTGCAGTTCCTTCAGGACCTATACTGGCTTGAGCTTGGCTTTGTGCCTGCATGCTCACCCATCCTGAGCAAAGGTTCCTGATCTCAGGCAGGGGTGCTGAAACTCAGCAGTGTTCATTCGGTTTCTGAGTATTTTTTGGAGGTAACACAGATTGTGTTGAAAGTGAAATAAACGTTTTTAGCTGTAAGAAGAGAGACAGTGACAGATAGGTAACAGAAGGTGGCAGCACCAGACATCTCCTTGGAGAAAGTAGAGCGCTCCTGCCTGGCGTGAGGTGAAGCAGGCTTCTAGTGGAGGAGCTGTGGACGCTGAGTGGACCTTGCGGGAGAAGTGTGTGCAAGATGCAGCTGCAAAGTGCGCACTTAGATTCACCTAAAGTCATGGTGAGAGGGCCCACCGCGGCGGGCCTGCGTGCTCAAGACTTGGCTTGGTGCCGTGGACTGGGACAGGGGTGCTTCTCCCCGGGGGGTCCCGGGACAGAGCCTCACACGGCTAATGTCCCCAAGACATCTCAGTGCCTGGAACTTGCGCACGGTCTGTGGACTGTCTCCACGTCATTTGAATAGGACTTACATCAGCTCATCTCTGTGCCGTCAAATTCTTCTGCATGGTGGTTCTTGGAGGGTATTTATGAAGTTTGGTTGTCTGTTTTAGTACCCTAACAAGAAATATCCGGCACAGGAGAGGAGAAAAGGTTGTCATCAATGTACCAAGTAAGTTACAAAGGTGAGGGGAGCTGGGGGGGGGGGTGGGGAGGGCTTATTGCATTGTTGAGTCCTGACTCTCAACCATATCCTTCCCTTTTATGTTCACAACGCAGTATTTAAGGACAAGAACACCCCATCTCCATTCGTGGAGGCGTTTGCTGACGAGGAGGCTGCCCAGGCGGCCCAGCCCGACCACATCTACATGGATGCCATGGGGTTTGGGATGGGCAACTGCTGCCTTCAGGTACGGTGTCCGCCGTGTGGACTCTGCTTTAAAAATTGCATTTGAATTAAGGTGATGGGGGGTAGATAGGATTCTTTCTGAAAAGAAATTGGATTTTATGTATGTATTTATTTATTTTGTCAGTCGTGGGGCCTGAACTCTGGCCTGGGCGCTGTCCCTCAGCTCTTCGGCTCAAGGCTAGCGCTCTACCACTTGAGCCACAGCACCACTTGCGGCTTTTTCTGCTTATGTGGTGCTGAGGAATTGAACCCAGGGTCTTCTGCATGTAAGGCAAGCACTCTACCACTGAGCCACCTTCCTAGCCCCACAAATTATTTTTTAAAATACTTTTGTTACTATGAAGGTGTTCAACAGAGAGGCTTGAAACAAGCTTGTTTAGTAAGTTCATCTGAAGCTGTCTTTTGACTTAGAACCCCAGATCACCACAGGTGGGGTCCGTAGTTTCTTCTTAGTGCTCATAAGTGGCAGGCTAGTGAAGCTGTTCGACACGGGCAGATCTTTATTTCTGTGAGCACTTACAGATGGCAACTACTGAAGCTCTTTCTTCATGCAAGTATTCCAGTGGTTTTGTGATAGAAGGGACTTTAGAGTTGGCTAATCAGGCAAAGCCACCTAGTGACGGAGGAAGGATAAATGCTTCGCAGTGGCCTTGCTGGCAGGCACGCACACCACACGGGGGAAGGCCAGAGCCCCGGCCAGCAAGGCCTGCGGCACGCACCACCTCCCTCTCCCTTCACTGGGGCTCCTCATTCTTCACATGTGGCTAACAGCAGGCCTTACAGTAGGGCCCTTCTAGGCCTGACTCTAAGCTCAGACTTATTTCATTGCCTTTATTAATAGCTGTATCTGTTACGAGCTGTCATTTGATTAAAATCATTGTGTGGGAACTGTATAATTTGTAAATTTTCAAATTGAGAATTTAAAATCAGAGAGTCTGTTCTGCCGACTTCAGCTGATTAGAAATGGTCCTTGGGGAACTAGACGCAGCACTGAAGCCTGTAGTCCTGGCTTCTCAGGAGACAGAATCAAGGGGAATCACGATTCAAGGCCAGCCCAAGCATGAAAGTTCAAGAGCCTCCGTCTCAGCCGACGGCTGGGTGTGGAGCTGCACACAGCCACGGGCTGGGGACAGTGCCATGAGCGTGCCCTCCCAGCACTTCAGGAGGACATCAGGGGACTCCTGTTCCTGTGCGGGGCCTGCAGCCTGTGCGCACGCCTGCTTGTAGAGTCCCTCCAAAACCGTAATCCAAGTGAAGGCCACGCCACGTATTTCCACACTGACTTGTTTATATGCAGTATGACAGAGGGTAATTTTTTTCTCTGTTTTCTTGACGTGTCGGTAGTAAAAGCTGTATTGGCTTCAAAAGAAACTTAGGGCCGTAAGTTTCCTTAGGAAAAGTCACAATTCAAAACGAGAACTCTTGGCATTAGCTGCATTATTGACTTTGTTTTCATTACAAAGTGGCTAAAGAGAATATGTAAGCTCGTTCTGGCATTAGGACTGCAGGTGCATCGGGGCTCCCGTCGCTCTCTTGACTGAATGCTAAACCAGGTGTTGCTCAGACACTCCTCAAGGGCAGGGATATTCTCCCACAGACGCTCTTTGTGCAGCAACACAGCCACTCTCAAGGGGGAGGGCCTCTTTCCCTGGACACTGTAGCGCTGCAAAGAAGTGAGCTCTAGTGGCACCTGACCCACCATTTTGTGGTGAAGGTACATTTCTCTTAAGCCTTGTAAATTTAGTGCTAATTTTTTCAACAACATGTCATGAACACAGACTTTTAGACAATGTAAAATGCTGTAAATGCAATGAAATCTACAATAACTACAGAACTCTGTGCTCTGTATCTCGTAGAACAATAGAAACTATATGGGAAAGAAGTAATTTCAAAGTAATTTTTAAGTTTTACTTTAAAAATGTAAAGATTTACTATTCAAAGCAAACAGTATCTTTCCATATTCTAATTCTCAACTATTAAGCCAGGTGTGATAGTGCATGCCTGTAATCCCAGAGCCGGGTGTGATAGTGCACACCTATAATTCCAGTATTGGAGAGGCTGAGGCAGGAGGATTGGGAGCTCGGGCCATCCTGGGCTGCATAACAAGACCGTCTCAAGAGAAAAGTAAAACGTACTGTTGTGGGACTGCCTGGGACTCATCTAGTGAGCAGTCAGCTCATGGCTTGTTATCCTAAGGGCTTCCTTTAACCGTGTGCCTCGATGCCGTTTCCCGTGGGCACCGCCCCTTCCGCGGGTGGCATGCCCACACGGACACCAGGCCCGCCCACTCGTCACGCATGCCCTTCTTCCAGGGCAAGAACTGGTTTGTTCCTTTCCCTTTAGCCACAGTGATCATCTCTTCTGTCGCTTATGTCAGCTCTAGCATAAGGAAAGTCGTTACTAAACTTATTTAGAATAACAAGTTTCTGTTGCAAACTGAACTATCACATTCCAGTTGCTACTTTTCTTAAGCAGTCATTTCTAGGGTTGACTTTTCCAGGATTTGCTTATAAATTGTTGTATCCTAGAACATCTAAGAGCAGCCAGTCAAAGCACTGGAAAACAAAATGTTTATCGTGAAAAGCTCCCCCCACTCTCCCCACCCCCCCCCACCCCCGCCCCATACTACAGTATCTAAAGTCGCAATAGGGCTGAATGAACAGAGGCCCTGGCCACTCCACTCGGGCTCTGCTGCACGTGGCTTCTGCCAGACCCACCATCAGCGCGTCTGGAGGACAGTCAGGCCTTGTGCGTGTCAGGCCTCACGAGCACCTTTGGATCAGAGTTCGAGTGTCCCCACGCTCTCCCCCGGTGTCCTCTTTGCTTCATGAGCTTCAGACATGGCTAGTCAGCAGCAGATGCCAGGTCTCGCCACACAGTCCTGCGGGAACCCTCGCCACGCCCACGGGCGAGTTCCTTCCCTTGGGAACTCGTATTTCTTTTCCTGGGTGGTCACCCCAGACATCTGCACTGAGCGCAGCACAAGCCTGTGAGTCTGGCTTCTCCTTTCCAGGGTCACCCTCCCCAGCCAGCCGGCTGGCCAGCCAGCACCCACAGCCTGCTGTTTCTCAGATGGAGGTGCACTGGCCCCCCGACTCCGGGCCATCACCAGACCATCGCCAGGGTTCTTTAAAACTGTCCTCAGTAGCGCCAAATCCCTGTGGTACTGAAGTTTAAATAAGCCTCAGATAACCCAAGAAGAGGGGCACGGTTAAGTGCAGATTCTAGTTCACCTCACCAAGAACAGCTTTTAAACAAAGCCCATGCATTGAGCATGGCCATCACTGGCATTCCCCTCCCCTCCTTTCCTCCAGCCCTCGCCTGCGGCAGACCTGATGGCTTGGGACACATGCTAATGACCTGTCAATCATGTGCATTCTTAAACAGGTGACATTCCAAGCCTGCAGCATATCTGAGGCCAGATACCTTTATGATCAGTTGGCCACTATCTGCCCAATTGTCGTAAGTAGAATTATACCCTATTTTAAATACATCCTAAAAAAAGGCTGCGTAGGCAGGATTTGCCAAGTGTGCTAGTGAGGATCAGCTGAGACTTCATTCAAAAGTGAACGGATTTAAAAGGATGCAGAGTTAGAGCTAATGGAGCTCAACTGTGCTGTAGAGTTACCGTGCTGGTAAAATGTCCACTACAGTGTCTCATGTGGCCGTTCTCTGGTCATGATGAAGGACGTGGGTGGAGTCCTAGAGTTAGGACCATCCCCAGTGGGTGAGTCCTGGGAGCCCGCTTTAAGCGCTGGAGTGTGTGGCGGCCTGCAGAGTGGCCTTCCTGTGTCCACAGATGGCCCTGAGTGCTGCTTCTCCGTTTTACCGAGGCTACGTGTCGGATATCGACTGCCGCTGGGGGGTCATCTCTGCTTCTGTGGACGACCGGACCCGGGAGGAGCGAGGACTGGAGGTGGGGAGGACAGCGGGCGGGGGGGGGGGGGGGGGTGGAGACACGTTCCCAAGTCCTCTGCGTGCTGCCGGAACACATCTCTGGCCATCCTGGCAGCTGTGCCCCTGGCTGGGCACATCCTCCCAGCTCCCGCTGAGATCTCCAGGCTGGAACACGGCCTTGGGTGTTTTGAAAGTGGCCACGGTGGGCTGGGAAGGTGGCTCAGTGGTAGAGCGCTTGCCTTGCATGCACGAGGCCCTGGGTTCGATTCCTCAGCACCACATAAACAGGAAAAAAAAGCGGGAAGTGGTGCTGTGGCTCAAGTGGTAGAGTGCTAGCCTTGAGCTGAAGAGCTAAGGGACAGCGCCCAGGTCCAGAGTTCAGGACCCACAACCAGACCCAAATAAATAAATAAATGGAAATGGCCACAGTGGTTGTAATGGTCTTGGCCAGGGCTGTTCTGATCTGGTCCTTTGGCAGTTACTCAAGTGTTCACCGCTGTCCGAATAGAACTAATCACACTATTTACACTATTAGGATAAAGTGTTCTTACATCCTTACTTGGGGTTTTAACTTCCAGATCACTTTAGTGGCATTTATTGTATTTTTTATGTTTAGCCACTGAAGACCAGTAACTATAGGATCAGTAAGTCGCGGTACGATTCCATAGACAGCTACTTGTCCAAGTGTGGGGAGAAGTACAACGACATCGACCTGACCATAGACAAGGAGATCTACGAGCAGCTCCTCAAGGAAGGTGAGTCCCGGGCTCCTGCAAGAGCCACTGAACGCTCGCTGACCCTGGTCTGGTTTCCGTTTTCATGTGACGTCTAACTTTCCTTAGGCGGCTTGTTCCTACAGTTTCGAGTTCCCAGTACCTGGGGTGTTGTTGACTTTTAGCAGCAGGAGCTGGTTCTGGAGCTCTGCATGCAGGCCGCCGTGGCCACGCAGGCGCTGTGGAGGTAGTGGGGGTCCCCTGGCCCCTCCCAGCGCCTGCAGGACAGTCCTGGGCAGGCCGCGGATCCCGCACGGCCTGTCTTCCCAGGCCGCTGGGGGCCTCTCCTCAGACCATGCGCCCAGAGCAGGTGGTGCCTTGGCCTCTGCCGGGAGCCGTGGTCTGTCTTGCAGGCATCGATCACCTCCTGGCCCAGCATGTTGCCCACCTCTTCATCAGAGACCCGCTGACCCTGTTTGAAGAGAAGATACACATGGATGATGCCAACGAGTCCGACCACTTCGAGGTACCTCCTCGTCTCGAATGCGTTTCCCTCCAGCACCAGGCTGTCCCCCGGGCCGGTGGCACTACGCATCTCATGCCTTCCGCCGTCTGCGCTCCCACGGTGAAGAACAGGGAATTAAAATGGGCTTAAAGTACCCTTTCTAAAAATCCTTACAGCTTGTTTCCTCAAGCCTACACATTTTTGTTCGGTATTTTACCTTGTTTGCCTGGTGAAGAAAAATTCAAACACATGCTGCATGACAAATGGTCTAGTAGACCTCCAGGCTGCAGACACAAATACGGGCCGCGGTCTCCTAACCTGCCAGGTCACACCCAAGAAAACCTTCAGGGGTGCCACACCACACCGTTTGTGTGTGTGGGCGCACACGCGTCGGCATCAACACGGACGCTTTCCTGAATACACAAAGCTGCTTCATCCTCTGCCTGTTTTCTTCTCTAGAATATTCAGTCCACAAACTGGCAGACGATGAGATTTAAGCCTCCTCCTCCAAACTCGGATATCGGCTGGAGAGTGGAATTCCGGCCCATGGAGGTGAGTCGCAGTGCTGCCGGGAGAGGGGGGGGGGGGGGGGGCGGGCTGCCACCTCGCTGCTCATCTGCCCCTAAGCTCTCCCCAGAGGCTCCGGGAGGGCGGAGCCAGGCTGATGGGATGATCCCTGAGCAGATCTGGCAGCAGCTTCCAGCCCTGGATCAGGCAGGAGGCCCAAGGGGAGGCCAGGGCCAGCGCTGGTCCTAATGTGTCCAGTTTCTGCATGTCTAGGTGCAGTTAACAGACTTTGAGAACTCAGCTTATGTGGTGTTTGTGGTGCTGCTCACCAGGGTGATCCTATCTTACAAGCTGGACTTCCTCATTCCTCTGTCCAAGGTGAGGTCACGCCGTGCCTCGGCTCGGGAGGGCACGGCGCTGGCTGGATGGCGTCCTCTCCTCTTCCTCTCACTCGGTGTGGTTATTTACCCTCTGGGGCTTCTCCCATCACCCTGGTCTTCCTCTTGAGCCTAAGCTGTATTTCCTAGAGGCTGTCAGTTCAGGATGGGGGTGGGAAGGTCCCGCTGATGGTGCCCCAGCCATCGCCCAGTCTGTACCGCAGGAGGCAGGCAGGAGGAAAGGCGAGTGAGCACCGCCGTATACCGAGGAGGCAGGCAGGACTAGAAGAATTCCTTGAGTTCCGTTTGGTGGTGGTGGCTCTGCGCTGCTCTGCTCCGCTCCGCACCTGGCCGTGGCCCAGGCTGGCCTCCGGTGTGGGATTCGGCTCTAGATGGCACCTTTGTTTGATCAAGTGTTTTGGCTTGTTTGTGATTCTCTTTTTCTCTTAGGTTGACGAAAACATGAAAACAGCGCAGAGGCGAGATGCCGTCTTACAAGGCATGTTTTATTTCCGGAAAGACATTTGCAAAGGTATGACCGGCCCCTGGCTTCCGGCGCGCACAGGCCAGGCCGGCCTCTAATGCCTCTCCTCTGCTCAGCAGGCGGCCACGCCGTGGTGGACGGCTGTGGCAAGGCACAGAGCAGCGCGGAGCTGGCAGCCGAGGAGTACGGCCTCATGAGCATCGACACCATCATCAACGGGAAGGTAGGGAGGGAGGGAGGGAGGGAGGGAGGACGGGCGGGGCCTGGCCTCTCCCCACGCCGGTGTGGGGCTGACACTGTCCTGTCTCCCAGGAAGGCGTGTTCCCCGGCCTCATCCCCATCCTCAACTCCTACCTGGAGAACATGGAAGTGGACGTGGACACCAGATGTAGCATTCTCAACTACCTAAAGCTAATCAAGAAGAGAGCATCGGGTACGGGAGCCCTTTTCCTTTTGTTCCCGCGTGAGTCCCTGCACCGCGGAGTTCCTTCATGATCCCATGCAGTGCGCTCGCCCCTTCTTCCCCCTGCGGCCCGTGGGCCTCTGGCACGCCCCGCCTGGGCTCGGTCAGGAGCTCTTCTGTGGCTTTTGGCACATCGCTGTGTGTGTCCAGCCCGGGTGACCGCACGCCACGGTCTCGTGCCAGGACTGGCAGCTGTGCCCTGGGCTCCATGGCCGCCCACTGGGCTGTCCTGTTCCCAGCATGCCTCAGTCCCAGCCACATCCTGAAGATACCCTTGCGTTGACGGGGCGCAGCGGGTACCCGCCCCGGGATGCTGTCACTGTTGGTGACCCCCTGCCATCCCATCCTGACCTCTTCCCTACCCTCACCGCCCCAAGGCCCCTGCAGTCAGAGGGGTCATGACCTCCCTCTGGATTCGGGGGACCCCCACTCTTCATGCAGGCACTGGCTTCAGGCTGTAAGAGCTGGCAGTGTGGGCATGTGTCTGGCATCCAATAGGTGCCTAGAAACTGTCCCTGTTGCCTGCCTGCAAGCTACCATTCTTTGGAGGAGGAATTCTTGACACTGGAGTGACGTCTCCCAGCGCTGCCGTGGCTCGCCGACGAGGCGTCGTGATGGCTTTGCAGACTGGTGTGGACGTGGTTCTGAGCAGCTCTGTTTCTTTGTCAGGACAACTGATGACTGTCGCCCGATGGATGAGAGAGTTCATCGCAAACCATCCTGACTACAAGCAGGACAGCGTGGTAACGGACGCCATGAACTACAGTCTCCTCGTGAAATGTAACCAAATTGCCAACGAACAGTGCGAATGCCCAGAGCTGCTGGGCTCAGCTTTCAGGAGGAGAGCGAAGGACGACGCAAGTAAAGCCGACTCCGACTCCTCCAAGTAGCCCTCTGCGGAAGAGCCTCGCCTTCCGGGGGCCGGAGGCCAAGTGCCCTTCTGAGGCTCGGCCTGCGTTCAGGTGTTGAAGACCAAACAAGAGCCCTGCTGTGTTGCCTGGCCTGGCCCCGTGGGCCGGAGGCCTCCTTCAGTAGGCATGTAGTTTCTACGTGTACGTGTATATAGTAAAGTATTTTTATGATTAGCAATGTATTTTAATAACCCTGTCTCGGAAGTCATTGTGGACCGACCTGTACATTTGGATCTCGGGCTCGGGAAGCGCTCCCGTCACCGCAGCTTTGTCAGCGTCCTGTGTGCTAACCGTGCAGTGCTGGCATTCCAGAGTTGAAAGTGTTTACTGTAAAAGTTCCTTCGGAGACTACCTGCACCTGATTCACTGAATGTATCGCTTTATCTCAGTAACACTTCCTGTTAGTATCGCTTTTTCTTGGTAACACTTCCTCCTGTTAGTGTATGTTGAAGACATAAAGTCCTGAGGTACCCTGCAGCTCTCCTGGGGTAACCTTGGATTCCTGGCCTCTCTGGCACGTTTTTCTTGGCCATAGACTAGCTGGCCTCTTGGTCACCCTGCCCAGGCTTTGACCTATGAAGAAAAACCCACTTCACTCTGGCCACCATACAAGGAACTTTGCTTCTTTCTTTAAATGTGCTGATTCACTTACTGTGTCTGATTCTGTAGGAAGGAAAGAGAATCTTAACCCAGAGTTGCAGGGAGGGGCTGATTTTGTTTTAGTTTTGCTTTTCACCAAAAAAGGCGGGGAGATCACTGAGACCTGCTCACAGCAGCCTGGGCGGGGAGATCACAGACCGCTGTGAGCCGCGGCCTGGGCTCTGCTCTGTGGCCCGTTCTGGTTGCTGCTGTGTAATTACAATTTCAAATCCCATGCAGCGGCCGCAGTTGGGCTGCTTTACTCATTCTAGCTCCCAGAAAGTGCACCGCCCAACCAGCATGTAAGAGCTGCTGGCTCCAGACTTCTCTGGAAACACATGCTCTCTGCTTACCTTCGTGAAACTCGCCAGAAATCATGAAATGCACTAAGTTTTGTGAATCAGGACCCTAAATGTTTCACTGTAAATAATTTCGGTTCCAGATAATCCTTACAGCTTTGTGTTGACGTTTTGGTTTTTTATTTTTAGTTAAATGTCCTAACTGCTTCTGAAACAGCTGTGTTATAGATTATGCATAAATATTTAACTGTGATGCTGATTTTAACAGATTGCAATAAAGCTGCTGCAGCCACGTCTGCTTTGGCTTCCTGCGTGTATTTTGGAGGACTCAGGATGGCTTTGTCTTTTACAGATTGAGTGTAAATCACGTTATCCAGAGGCAGACAAACTGCATGTGGTGTGAGGAAACAAAAGAATGGAGTTAGTATTCAAAAGGCTCCTGAATGTGCCTAAGTTCTGCCATGAAAGGCACCCGAGTAGTTTAACTGCCCAGGTCCCATGCAGATGGGGCCCGAGCCCCAGAGCCGCAGGCCCTGCAGGGCCTGCCACTCGCTGTGTCCGGAAGCAAAATTTCCTTTTCCTCCAAACTAGTGCAGCGCTGCTGAGCAGTGGGCAAGGCCCTCTTCTGTCTCAGCAACCAGCAGGACCTGCGGAGAGTTCCCACAGCTGGATTCGCATCCACAGCAGCACACATCCATCCGCCCACCACACACACACACACACACACACACGCACGCATGCACGCACGTCTACAACCCAGCGGGCCTCCTCTGGGTAGTAGGCTGTGTCCAAGCAGAGACTTGTTTCTCTGAGTGACGGTGTAGTCACTCAGTTCTCCCAAACTCCTGACTCCTCTGGCTCGGGAGTCAGTGGGGCCACAGCTGCATTTCTAATGGGCTCCAGGGACAGACGCCGGCCTGTCGGCTGGCCATGGGAAAGAAACATTCCTGCCACACTCTATCTGAAGTCTTCATGACTGCCTGCAGCTCTAACGGCACACCTAGCTTTGCTTCTAAATTTTTATTTTTTTTTATTTTTTTATTTTGTGGTCAGTCGTGGGGCTTGAACTCTGGGCCTGGGCGCTGTCCCTCCGCTCTTCAGCTCAAGGTGAGCGCTCTACCACTTGCGTCACAGTGCCACTTCTGTTTTTCTGGTGGTTCATTGGAGATAAGAGTCCCACAGACTTTCCTACCCAGGCTGGCTTTGAACCATGATCCTCAGATCTCAGCCTCCTGAGTAGCTAGGATGGCAGGCGTGAGCCACCAGCACCTGGCTTGTTTCTAAATTTTGAAGCCAGTGACTGCTCTCCCAGGATGAGGTAAGCCTACAGCCTTGCGGGCGCCGCACTCCTGAGCATAGCCGAGCATCCTGCTGGGGAGCAGAGCTCGCCACACAAGCAAAACCTGGGGCCTCCCAGCCTCTCCCACCTAGCGCACTGACTTCTCAACCTGCTTCTAACCCAAAGTCTGCTCTGCCCACCCACCGTGTGCCGGTTCTCCACAGGTCCCGGACACCTGTGCCACTTCCACGCCTTGCCTTGACCTAAACGCTCGCTGTGATACGTAAGTGAAGCGGGGCCCTACGGAACAAACGCTGCTTGCTGCATGGCGCACCGAGTTCCTGCCCGAGACCGCTCCACTGAGGTAAGACGGCCACACTCCATGAGAGTAAGTCTGAGTTCCCCCAGTTACTCGCCATTATGCTTCATAAATATTTCACTTATCCTATCGACACTTTCAGAAGTACCTGCCAAGGGGTATTTAGGAAAGTATAAGCCAAGCACAGGTGACTCACACCTGACTGGTCACTCTACCTGTCAACGGGAGGCTGCGGTTAGGAGGATTGGGGTTCCAGGATAGCTCAAGCAAACACAAAAACCAGAAATCAGAGCTGGGCACTTATAGGTCATGCCTGTCATCCAGCTACTCGAGCCAGGATCTGAAGGTTCAGGTTCAGAGCGAGGCCAGGCTAACAAAGTCTGTGCATTCTCATCTCCAATGAACCAGCAAAAGTGCTGGAACTGGTGGTGGACTCAAGTGGTAGAGCACCAGCTATGCGTGAAAAGGCCGCATAAGACCACAAGGTTCTACATTCAAGCCCCAGGAACCAGCCAAAAAGACCTGGAGACATGGGTCGACTTAAAGAGGAGCTGCCTACCACCCCTCAAAATATATACGCTATCTCAGTGCTGGCTACTGTCACAGTACCATGGAGCCACTGACCCAACAGCCACGGGTGCCACAATGCTTATCAGAAACAGAGAAGAGGCAAACAGATGTAGATTGCTGCATCGTGTCAACATCAGTGTCCTGGCTGTGACGCCATGCTATAAGTCACTTCCTTCCTGTGGGGAAAACTGGGAAAAGGGCACAGGCATCTCCCTATATTGTTCACGTAGCCACGTATTAATCTCAGAGTCGCAAGACCGAGCATTGTACAGGCACTAGAAGGTATGAACCCTAACCCTGCCTGTCACTCTAAGGCTTCCAGAAGGTCATGTTTCCCAAAATTAGTCATTCTGTGACGAGTTTTTGTAAGCTACAATTTCAAAGGGAACGGTATAATTAAATACTACAAGCTCAAGTTCACCTGCTCCTCCTTTTTTCTGTAGTTCCAGCAGTGCCCTCATGGTGGCAGGATAGGACCGGTCTGTCTACCAGTGTCCGCAGCTGGCCAGTGAACCAGCCAGCCCGCACTGCTCCAATAGGCTGTGAAGTTAGAGTTGTACAAAATGGGAAAGTAGGCCACGGTGAGTGGCGGAGGGGAACCGCAGGTCGCAGATACATGGCTTATTGACTCCTGTAACAAAAGAAATTCACCACAGTTGTAAACCAGGGAAAACAATTTCCTATAAAAGAAGAAAAAAGCACACAAAGCACCTATTTGTTAAGGCCCACCCATGTGGTAACTGGTACTCATCCAGCAGTCCGCACAATGGCTCTGTCCACAGACATTTCCCCGTTCCTTCCAGAGACTCGAGAATAAACAGTTCATTTCTCCTGTCTTGATTTGCTGCAATGGAGGTAAACAACTGACAATGGGTGGACAGAAACATCCCATGTTTTTCTTGAGTACATACAGTCTTGTGCACCCCCGCCCGGGAATCAAATGAGAAAGAATGACTGAGCAAAGGTTTCCAAAGTGCTCGGCAGAGACTAAGAAAAACAAACGCCAGCAACAAGCACTTGCTCTGTGGTATCCAAGCACAAAAGACACCCAGTACCAGATCGTTTCCTTTTGTTCTCAGGAACCCAGCGGTCTTGTTTTCACTTCATGACTTGTTTCTGGACCAGTGGACCAGGGGACACACCTGACCTGGGAAGAGGCTCCCATTGGCTGGCCTGAAGCCATGATAGTTCCTTCCTTCGAGAACTGCAATTCAGAGAAAAACACAAGCTTGCTGTGGTCAGAGCGGTGGCAGTGGAAAGCTCAGCCTTGGCTGTTCAACTTGCCTTCCATTCTAGGGGGAGCCCACACCTCTCCCCGCAAATTCACACTTGCAGTTACTCTTCCTTCCAACAAATTCACAGTTCTAGTTAAACTTATTTCCAACAAATTTACACTTCCAGTCTTATTTCCAACAAACTCACCCTGCCGGTTACACCTATTTCCACTTGGTTTCTGCTACCTGAATAGCCTGCCAAAGACACTTGTTCCTGTACAGCATTGCGTGCTTTGCTTTGCTTTGCTTTTTTTAAAAAAGACTGTGTGGCCAGCCTCCGGCTCTCGTAGACGGAGTGTCCTGGCTGCTGAGCAGCACCCGGTCTCTGGCGTCCAGCCCAGCTTCGTGACCCTACAAATGTTCCTTTTGCTCTCTCGGAGTTTCCGCTTTGTTCTCGGTAAACACAGGGTTGATAGCATCTGCTGAGGGACGTCACCCGAGCAGGAACTGGCCATCGGGCGCGGTGCCGGGCACAGGACAGATGCTGAACGAATGTCAGCCTCTGCTTCGGAGCAGCTCCGCCCGCTGATCTCAAGGGGGAGTTACAAAGATCGTGGGAAGTTTCCAAACTAGAGAGGACATCATTGCTCTAAAGGATTATGGCCGGGACCCAGGCCCTTGAGCCCGGGATCTGTTGCTCTCCCTCTCAAGCCTGCCAGGGGCAGTGCACTCCTTGGGGCTGCTGGGAAATGAGAATCCCCACCGCCCTGGTGCAGAGGAAGCGCGCAGGGGAGCAGCAGGTGCATCTGGTTGCTTGTGCAGACTCCTCCAGGGTGCCAGGGGACAGCGGAACTGAAAACGGAGAGTAACCAAGGCAGGCAGCTCCCGCCCCTCCATCAGCCAGCCAGGAACTGGAAGAGCAAGACCTTAGCCTTCTCCCTCTTCCCTGGGCCCAGCGGCAGAGGAGCAGGGAGGGAAGCAAGTGGAGTTCGTCAAGTTGAGTTCATGCTCAGTTCATGCTCGGCGCTCCTCGCAGATATGTTCCCCCCATAAGGCATGTCTGTTTGATCTGGAGAAACCTGACTGCATTTGGCGGAGAAGACAGGGCAAGGCTAGCACACCGCAAAGCTTAGAGACAAACAATGAAAAGTAAAAACAGAACTGGGGAGATTCTCTCCTTTTCTGGCTCCAAAGAGCAGCGGGTATGAAAATGTTACTATTAGCAACATAAACATTTGGTATGCTAAGCATCCCTGTTGGAGAAACCATTTGAGTGCGCACCTACCACACCCAGCGGAGGACTCCGCACAGTTCCACTGGCGCTTTAAATATGTTTCTGAGTGTTCTTGTGTGTTGGCCCCTTTCGGTCACTGAGCTCAAGAACCTGTTGCTCTGGAGACTGGTTTTGTTCTGCCACTCCTAAGGACACCTTCTGCTTTTCCTCCTGTAATCCAGACCAACCACCGAAGGGGAGCATGTCTCACTGCTTCGTGGCCCCATGTTTTCTGGTCGGTCACAATCGCGTGTTAGACTCTTCACAATTGTCGTAAACACCTAGCATCCAAAACGGGGGGGGGGGGGGGGGGGGAGGTGGCTGGGGGGGGGGGGGAAAGGTCTGTGTTCAGCTCACAGTGTCAGGGATTTCAGTCCTTGGCTGGAGGTCAGGCAGGGCATTGTGGACCATATGGCAGGAGCCTGTGGACAAGAGGCTGGGAGACCAAAGCGTGGAGTCTTAGCCCGGCCCTTCTCCAGGCTCAGTCATCTCCTGCTTGTGAGAGTTTAGAAGTGGCCAGCAGCTGCTGCGGGGTCATAAACTGGCAGAGGCCAAGTGCGGAAGGTCAGTCCAGACAGACAGACACACAAGACCCCCTTCTTAACCAATAGCTGGGCACTGTAGCACATGACCCCCTGCTT